TTTTTTGATTGTGTTTTGTATGTTCTGAATAATAGTTTCTATTTTGGGCCGGGCATCCCAATAGCATGCAGCGTAAAGCCGCGCGTCCACCTATTCTAGATGGTGAATTAGATGAATTGTCTGAATATTTGACTCATTTTGTACGTGTCGAACTTAAAATGTCTTCGCTAGCGGAGTCTACATATGTCTAACTAGAATTTGTGCACTTGAATAGTGTGCTTTCTTACTTATTGTTCGAAAAATGTTATTCAGCGCCCTTTTTCCTCAGGTAAAGCAGTACTTGTTCTGTCACTTCAAATTCTAACTCAGAATGTCTTTTGAAGTGTGTCCCGGTCGTTCATGTAGTGAACACTGCTCAACATTTTGTTTGTCGAAGTAAGACCCCTTTGATTGCACTGCTATCAAATATGTTATGGGACTGAAGATGAAGAAGTGAAGTCCAGTGAATATCAGTGAAAGAAAGGTGAGAATAGTGCACAAGATTTTTTTTGCAGTAATTTATGTCCTCGTAGAAGACTGTAGTTCTAGGAAGACGAAGAGACATGGAAAGATGCTATGGAGACTTAGTTGAAGAAAGGTATCATGAATCTCTTCATAAGGCTTCATAGCTTCCGCAACTCTTTTTTCATGAGTTTGCTTCTGATCTCATTGTGCTTGTCTTAGTTACTCACTTGCTTACGGTTCACAAAGTATTTCCGTTCGCATGCACTGCACAAGCTTTGCTTAGCCAGTCTCAGGCTTGAACGTGGGTCTGTAGTCCTTTGTAGTCTTAGGCCATGCAGCAGACACTTGCATGTTTCGCCTGAGTTGAGTGTATCACAGGAACCGCACATGGATCTCCCTTTATTGTAACAGGCACATGCCAAACTTGATTCACTTGCTTATCAGCTTAGTAATCCATTTTACCATGAATGTCAAGGGTAGCAAGTATGGCTTGTGTCTTACCGCTGCTATTTCCCTTGATTTTATTCGCACTTCCCTGTCGCTTATCGTGCAACGAAAATCGCACTTTTTCTGCGTTTGCAGTGCCACGAAAACATTTCTTTTTTCAGAATGATTACTAAGGCTCAATGCCACATTTGTCTTGGAGGACCATTTGTCCTCAAAACCCTCTATAACCATCTGCGCCAGCAACACGGATGCACTGAAGAAGTAGTCAATGAAGTGAAAAATGCTACAAAGAAAGCCATTCATTGCGGCAAAAAAGAGCTCCGGTGTGAGGCATGCTCACAAGTTTTCTATAGTGCTGAAGGGCTGAGAAAGCACAAAAAGGTGGGGGAATGAGAACATTAGAGCAAAGATCTCATAGCGTTTTTATTTTGCGCCGCCCTACACAGTCATGTTACAGCTGAAACATTCAATCAGTGGCCTACCAGAAGAGATAAAATGCCCAATCTGCCCCGAAAAAACAAACAGCCTTCAAAGG